CAAGAAATTCAGTGAGACAAGTTAAAAACTGAATTCATTAGAGATCAGATCATTGGGTGAGTTTCTGTGTCTCAGCACTGACTGAAAAACTCAGCAGATCCTTTCCCTGTCTTCCTTCCCCGACTGCAGAGCATTTAATTTATAAAAGAACTGGCATAAATTTACAACAGCAGTAAGAAAGAACCAGACTGAGCAGCCTGTGCAGGGGGTTCATATCCAACCACAGCACCAAGCCCAGAAGCACAAGGAACCTCCTTCCCTCTTCACGGGCTGCTGAAGGCAGAATGTGAATCTTTCCATTGCTCAGAAGAACTTGTGATTGGTGTTTCAACAATTTCTTGTTTGATCCTTAGCTTGTGACAAAGCAAGTTCTGGAGTCTGTCAGACATGAACTTGAAGCTGTGAAGTAAAATGACCCCAAATCTGAGATCCTACACCAAGTCTGTCACCCCCCTGGCCCATCAGATGTCAAAGATATTCCTGATGATCACACGGCTCTTTGAGCACTGAGCAGATTGATCTGACTGAGATGAAATGAACTCATCTCAATTGTTTTCATTTCCCAGAAAGTCTCCCTATAGATTTAGTGGGAGACAGCATTAACAGAGCAGCAGGAGCAGGTAGGCACACACCTGCCTCAGGGCACCCAGAGGCTCCTCTGGGAGCCTGCAGCCAGTTACCATGGCATTACTGGTGGGGGACTGCAGGTTTTTGCTTCAGTGAAATGAATGCACACAGCAACATCTCCATCTTCCCTAACAGGCTCTCCACATGCCCTCCCACCTCCTCTGTATCTCAAGTTTCTCCTTTTAGTAATCAAATAATTTCTCTCGTCAATAATTTCTTCGGTCCTTTTCTCCTGTGCTCCCCTGCTCCTACTCTCTCTCTGTGTGCACTGCCTTCTCCCTCCTCCAATTTTTGTCCACATTTCTGCATTATGGGATCTGTGTGTCTCAGTGCACCAACACTGTGACCCCTGCACACTGGACTAAAGAAGCCATCAACAACTCACATGCCTGAGCTTATTTTTACATCTGCTATTCAACACAGTTCAGCAACACTGGACCAGCAGTGCTCTCCTGGCACATATAAAAATGTTTAAAACCACTGATAACTCAAAGCTACATCAGATAGAAGATTAAAGATGTAAACAATCAGTTTTCATATTAACCTTCTGCTGGCCATTTCAATAAACAGCCATCACAGTGGGAACGTTGAATTCAATATTTCAGGTGGGACAGCTCAGTGCAAAAAACCAGCAGAACAAAGGGGTATCTCAGACTGGAGCAGAACTCAGATATCCCTGATATGTGCATATTTAGAAGCTCTGATACCAGAACTCTGAAAGAATTTAAGGAAGAGGGGATTTTATTTGGAGAAGGTACTTCAGGGGTGTCCTCTGAGAAGCACTAGAAAGAATAAGCACATTCTCTCTAGGGAAAAGGCAAATGCTAAAGGATATTGCCAAGTTACTCTGGCATGACACAAAGTAATTACAAAATCACCTTTTTGAACTGTATTGATCTGTATTGTTCGTTAAAAGAGAGGCATTCCTTTAAAATCCAGAGAGAAGTTCAATCCCCAAATCTGAAAACCCCTGAAAATTGTGTGGATTTTTTTTAGAACAGCTAAAGTTCTAATAGGTTTTGTGTCTAAACATCCCAAACTATTTCATCCTGGAAATGGTAAAAATGAGCCAAGTGTGCCGAATCTTTTTACAAAGCAGAAAAATAAGTGCAAATCTTTGAGGAGATAGGGCACATAAATCCCTGCCTCAGCCCAGAACTGCAGGAAGATGGATTAATTCCACAAAAGAACAGAAGCAGAACAAAAGAGGTGGCTGGAAGTAAAAAAAAGGTGAAGGAAACTGCAAAGACAAAAGGCCCTCGTTCAAATCCTCGGATCCAAGAATGAGTACGACACGACCATTTGTCAATAAGGGTGAGAAACTCACTCCAAAGAAGTTATGTGAGGATTTCTGCCATCTCCAGTTGATAACAGACAAGTAATTTAATCTCTTTCATAAATTTCAAAGGGCTCCTACATCACAGGTGCTCTGCAGGAGTGGATTTCATCATCAATTTGATGATTTCATCATCAATTAACCTCAAAAGTTCCTTTTAACACAGAGAGTTTCTCAGCCCAGTGCCTGGCCCTCCAACCACCACTCCTCGTGACCAGGAGGCCCAGGACCACCAGGAGCTTCCAGGCTCTGCTCTCCACGTGACTGAACACCCAGAGCAGGAAAAACGAGCCCAACAAATCCACACCGCCCAGCAGCGCTGCAGCCTGGAAGGGCTCAGCGTCACTTAATTAAAACTCTGTGCCCGCGGACAATCTTGAGATCACTTTTCTAATTAGGAAATGCACTCTGGCCCAGATCATCAGCTGTGTGACAACAGCAGGGTGCCAGAGCAGGTCCGAGTCCAGCTGCAGGGGAGATTAATCTCATTTTTCAGAGTGGTCTCTCAATCAGAAGAAAACTTCCTCCTGAAAATATGCACCAAGTCAAGGGGAGGGGTCCAGGAATCAGATCTCAGGCAGCACAGGGAGTGCTGGATTAATCTAATTACACTGTTGTTGCTTTTTGCTGGCAAGCTATTTAGCAAAATGCAGAGAGATGATAAAAGAATTGCCTCACGCTGATTCTGCAGAAGATAATTAAGATTTGTTTGGTAGAACAAAACACAAATCAGGGTTGGGAAAAAAAAACAACACAATTTTCAGTGTTTTCTGACAGCTGAAAGAGTGAGTATTAAAATGAATTAAAGCTAATTATCCTCATTACTTTTCCCCCTGTTGATGCTGAAAATGACACAAGATTATAAACTTTAGGACAATATTAAGCATTGTTTTGGAGCAAATTGTTCTCTTTTTTTCAAGCAAGCAATAAACAACCCACAGTTTTGCTTCACCAACAAGTAGCTAAAGAAGTGAAGCACCCCCTGAAAAGCAGATCAAGACTGACAGAAGTGAGAGATCTACCACTGTGTTCCAGGCTGGCAACAGACTAATCCAAAATGGATTAAACAATGCATTACCTTTCAAAAATAAAAACAGGAGAGTCCCCTCAGTGGTTTGGAAACAGCAGTGCACCAGCAAGTGGTTTAGCTGGGACCCAGATCAGAATCATAGAATGATGGAATGGTTTGGGTTGGAAAGGACTTTAAAGGTTATCTCATTCCACCTCCCTGGTGGGGTAGGGGCAGGGACACCTTCCACCAGCCCAGGTTGCTCCAAGCCCTTTCCAGCCTGGCCTTGGACACTTCCAGGGATCCAGGGGCAGCCACAGCTTCTCTGGGCAACCTGTGCCAGGGCCTGCCCACCCTCACAGACAGGAATTCCTTCCCAATATCCCATCTATCCCTGCCCTCTGGCAGTGGGAAGCCATTCCCTGTGTCCTGTCCCTCCATCCCTTGTCCCAAGTCCTTCTCCAGCTCTCCTGGAGCCCCTTTAGGCCCTGGCAGGGGCTCTCAGGTCTCTGCAGAGCCTTCTCTTCTTCAGGCTGAAATTCTTCATCCTTTATCAGTTCTCAAGTCCTGGAGTTTTGATTTTGATTTTGAGGACTGACATCTCATAATGACTTCAAGCAACAGTTTAGACTCCAGCACTGCTCAAAGTCTGGCTCTCACAACCTCCTCTCCTGCCAAAGCAAGAGCTGCTACAGCAGAGCAGTTGTGGCTACCTGGGCCACTGTGCTGCTGCTCACAAAAAGCTGGTCGGAGTTTCATCATGGATATATTAGAAGTATTTTTAGGTACAAGAGAAGTGTGCAGAGAAAACCCACACCTTTTTGTCACAAGCTTTTCCACTCTTTAATTCTGTATAATGCCGAAGTGCTCATCCCAGTAAATGGAAAGCCAAACCATAGGGGATTCCCAGGTGTCTCACAGAAAGGAGGAGAAAAAGGAAACTAAAAAAATGCTTTCCATATTCTAAGCACGGCACAGCCCTGAATGACAAAGGCTTTTTTCTTTGTCTTATTATCTTTTAACAAAAATCCCCCCCAAAGAGCTGCCAACTCATTAACAAACTTCTGCTCATGGATTTATAAGCAGTTTCAGTTCAAAGCATTTCTCCTTTGGATATTAAGTCTCAGTGGCACTTGAACAGAAGGGAAAAATCAGATTTTAGGCTTCATTTCAAGATTATGATTTAATTGATGACTTATTTCTTTTTCAGGGCTAAGAATTTGGACAAGAACTAGAAGATTATAAAACCAGGCATATGAAAATAGCAAGCTGACTACAGATGTAAGGGGGTAAAACATCTCCAGAGACAGACTTTATAAAAAGGGGGCTGATGTTGGTTCACCAGGATTAACAAATTGCCAAATGCCCATGTCACCTTTGAACAGGTAAATTATTTTATCCCTCAAGCCAATAATGAAGCAAAATATCTGAGACTTCTTAGCAGGATACAGCGTGGCTTTCCCTGCAGATGCACAGAACCCAGCTGGAGAATCCCCCTGAACTGATGCAACTCAGCAAGCTGACAGGACACAGAATTTCTGCCAAACAAAACCGAATTCTATGGGGGAGGATCCCCATATGGGATCTCCTCACTGATGCTCTTTGCTGTTTCCATTGCTACTGTGAGGAAATTGAACCCTTTTATAGCAGTTGTTGGCAGACAGTAAAAATAATCACCTAATATCTCTTAGCACATACACTGTATGTATGTACATACATTGATTAATGTATGGTAAGCAGAGATTAACAACAATGAGAACCTTCTTCATGTACAAAAAAACATCAACTGAAAATGACTCAGTGGGTCAGAGACTGACAAGGGGCATAACTACACTGGTTTCACTGCAGTAACTCAGCAAATAAAGCTGTGCTGTCATGTCTGGGTACAAGAGCTGTGACACTCACTGGGCTGTCCATCACCTGCCACTCACTCAGAGCTGGCTCTGCAGACAGTGGTGATGTTTTTCTGTTGTAAGGACAAGCACTGCAGGCTCTACAGTCCTGCTGACCATCTCTGAGCTGCCTTACCTCAAACAGCTCTTGCTCTGCCCGTCGATGATCATCCAGGAGCTGCTCCATGTAGGCCAGATTGCGGAATTTCTCCAGGTAACTGCTGTACTGTTTCTGCAGCTGCTCCTCAATCTTCTCGTACTCATCCATAAAAGCAGGACTGGGGAGAACAAGCACAAGCTGCTCAGTGAAATCTGCCCAGAGAAGCTGTGGCTGCCCCATCCCTGGAAGTGTCCAAGGCCAGGCTGGACGGGGCTTGGAGCAACCTGGGCTGGTGGAAGGTGTCCCTGCCCATGCAGGGGGTGGAAAGGATGGGCTTTAAGGTCCCTCCAACCCAAACCAGCCTGTGGTTCTGTGACTCTACAGATTTTATGTCAGGCTGTTGCACCGTTAGGATGAGAGGAACTGATCCCAACAAGGGATACAGAATGGATTTTTTACTGGTGGTTAATGGTAGAAGCCTGTGGGAACAGAGGGGCTGTTTGCAGTAGTTCCACCCTTTATGCTAAAACTCATTTATGCAATAGATAATCAATTCACAATCCTCACCGGACACTCTGTAGAGTCTGCAGCCTCTTCTGGCTCCTTTCCAGTTCCAATTTTCGCTTTTCGATCTTGGCTTCCAGATTGGCTTCATCCAAAGCCACGTTATTCAACATGTCTTTAGTCTTCTGGACTTGTTCCTGAAAGAGAAGGATGGTGAACCATGGCTGGCACTGGAAGAATTAGAATTATCTTTCAGATGCTGAACATTGTTCTGTATAATCTCATCTGTGTTTATTCAAGCAGGCAATGGAAATTAAAAAGTTCTTCGTGGCCAGGATAATGAACTAACTGGATATTTGTAAATTTAAAATACCTTATTTTTTTCAGACATTTTTAAAGAAGAAAACGAAAAAAGACACCCCACAGCTTTAATTTTCCTTCTCACTGGAAAAGCAGTAAAAGATAGGTAGAAGCCTATCTTTTGGAATCATTAAGATCTTTTTGAAACCTATCTTAATGGAATCATTAAGGTCTTTTCCAACCTTAATTCTATCTGAATAAACACAGATGGGAAATGCATTTATTTGTTGGTATTATTTTAGGGAATTTTTGGTTTCCAGACTTTTTTTTTTTTCTTTTCAAGGTAAAGGTCGCATTTGTAAAGAACTTACTCTACCTGAATATCTTCATCCTGTTCTAAATCTTGCTTTATCTGTTTCTTCAAAATATGGGAGGCATCCTGAACATTAACACAGGTGCTACAGGAGGGGGAATGGGAATATTCCAGCTCATGAGGATGAGCTGAGTACAATCAGTGTGCTCTTACGAGAGAGAGAACTTCAGATTTACTGAAATTCCAGCAGCAACTGTTGGTGCTGCTCAGCTCCAACAGGTCACTTAATTAAGTGGGCCAGAATTAATTAGCTGAGGTACCTGTTGCTGGAAGCCAATCAGTTTACTGTGCAGCTTTTAGTTCATCAGTGCTACTGCTAGAATGTGAAATGCATGTTAACAACCTCTAATATTCCTACAGACTGTGAGCAGGAGCAGAAACATAAATCACCTGGAATATCTACTGATTACGCACTGGCTGATTAAAGCTGCAGCTCCACTCCTTGTAATTCCACACCTGGACTGGATACAGTCTGCAGTTAAATAACTGATAGTAATCACTAGGATTTAATTAACCACCATCCTCCCACAGTGTACCAAAAGGTTCAGAGAAATTCAGGAACCCAAGCACTGGAGCAAGGACAGAGCTGCCACAACTGGGACAGACGAAAGTTCCTCCAAAATGAGAAGCACAACAATGCACTGGCAGGGCACTGATTAGCACAGTGCCAGTGATGAGCACTAATTAGCACAGTGCCAGTGATGAGCACTGATCAGCTCTTCTTACCCCTGAGCTCAGCTAGCCTGCTTCCAGAGCTCGGCTTCCCAGCTCCAGAGCTCCCAGCACATTCTGGGTCACCAAGGTCACTCCTTGCAGCCCACACCCTGCAGAGCTCACACAGCCTAGACAAGGTGGGGGGATGCAGATTTTTGGGCTGATTTAGGCCATTTTTATCCCTTCTGTACAGCTTTTGGGACAAAGCTCCTGAGAGAGGCAGGGAGTATGACTAAAATGTGTTTTCTCCCAAGGGAGAGCCCAAGTGCAGCTGTTTGATGAAGGAATGTTTCTGCACACTGAACCAACAGTTGCACAGGGTGACAGTGCAGCAAAGAGGATCTCAACATGTCCAAGATGCTGCTGCTAGATGTGTTCACCCTTCCTGCTGCAGGTGAGATTTCTGCCAGCTCAGCCTCACTGTGCCTCACCTCATTCACTGTTGAGAAAAAGAGCTTCTTGCAGCAGAGAAATTATAATTTCACAATTAAATAAGTATAATTTTGCTTACCAGAACACTGTCAATGGCAATTTTCATCACCTTCTCAGCCTCATTTATCTCCAAAGGTCTGGCAATAGATTCTGTTCTTGCTTCCTACGAAATAAAAATACACCAATATATTTCAACACTGCACAAAGCAGAACTGAGGGTGATCAAGCAACAAGGATGGGATCATCTGCATAATAAATGGGATAGTATTTAGTGTTTATTCACCAAAGCTGAGATGATTTAAAGAACAGGAGATGATGAAAAAGCCACTTAAGTGGTTAAGTGCTACTGTCTGCCTGCAAGTGTTCTTGGAGGCAGATTTTTGGCAACTGCCCTGGCTTTGCATGTGGAGCAAGGTATGCAAGGCGGGCACAAAGATTCCTTCACCTTTACAACACAACCCATGGAATCAGCAGGGGAGGTAGAAGAGCACAGTGTCCCAAAAACTGTGGAGCAAGAAGGATTATGAAGCCACCAAACCCTGCAGGTAGCTGGGATGGTCAGCCCAGAGAGCTTGCCAGAGCTCAAGGAATGTTTGGACAATGCTCTCAGGCACATTGTGGGATTGTTGAATTGAATTCATGATCCTTGGGGGTCCCTTCCAACTCAGAATATTCCATGTGCCCCCACATGAAAATTATATTCTGCAGATGTTTGGGCTTCTCTGGTTTAGATAAACGAGGGGTTCAAACTCCTCAAAAAACCCCAGGGATCCTTCTTTAGATCCCAAAGGATGGAAAAAGCCCTTTCCACTCTCAGCAGTTTTGAGGACACCTGTGCTTAGGGGTGCACTTGTCTGATGTCTTAAACACTGACTTGGTCATTACATAAGAACAACTGCATTGCTTGCTTGGTACTGGGAGGAGGAGAGAGGAGGAGGAGGAGGAGGAGAGAGAATTTTGCAGCCCAACGTCCTTAAAACCATCTTAGGTTGGAAAAACATTTGGTAACATGTGGATAAAGATGGAGAAAGCACCTCTCAAAAAACACCCAACTTAGAACCTAAAAATGCTTTATACACATTGCAAGAGGCAAACCCAGCTTAATCCAGGGTGAATTCTGGGAGCAGATACAAGGACTTGGCTAAAACCATGCCAGACACTCCAGATGGCACAGCTAAGGATGGGCAGAGCCTGTTCCCTCCCCACCAGCTCAAGTCCAAGGAATTGCAGGGTAAACCCAACCTGGGAGCTCATCCAGCCAAAAAAAAACCAAAAAAAAAGGCAGCTTTTTTGCTGAGCTTATTCCTCTCTGAGCAATCCAACCACAGGCTGCACAAAGGCTTTTTTTCCTGGCACAAGATTATGTTGGAGAGAGTGACAGGAGTCACATCTGTTGGTGGCAGTGACAGCTTACACGGACTAAAGTGCTTGTGAACATCCCTCTGTCCACAGAGGAATTCGAACTCCAAGGCAGGAAGTTAATTTGCATGAAAATAAGATAGAAACAAGATACAAAGTCCTGACTAATTCCACAGGTAGGTGTTTTTTGGAGGAAGATGGGCAAGAATAACGTAGCTGAGGAGCTGTTCTGGGAACATCAAGCATTTCAGAAGCTCAGCAAAACCCCTCTTTGTTTGTGAGTCCCTTGCCTGGCCCAGCCTGGTGCAGACACTGCCCTGCCACCTGCACGTGGTTCTGACACCATCAGGGAGGTCTCTGCCCTGAGCCAACACACCTCCAACCCCACAGCAGGAGGAGGGAATTATTTTCCTTCCCACTTGCAAAAAGAGAGATAAAAGCAACAGCAAGGATTGTCATTTTTAATTCCAAACAATCCCCTCACCGATCTGCCCTCAGTGAAACAACCCAGAACGCACACAGGGCCCGGCACTGGGGGGGCAGGGCAGGGGACTGATGGTTTTAGAGAAACTTCTGAGGATCTGCCCTTTTTAAGTTGGAATAATTTATGCAAGTTTAATCTTCTACCCTCCCTCAGCTTCCTGTGAAGTTTCCTGTACAGACCACAGACTTTGTGCACAAAATCCACATTGTTCTCTACAAGGTTCAGTTCTACAGCCACAAGTGCTTGGGAAAAGCTGTTAGGGCAGTGCAGAGCAGTGGAAAAGCTGGAATTTGTATTTTCAGACTGTGGATTGGGGGTTAAACTGGAAAATCCCAAGGTCAGGGCAATTAACCCACTCACAGCCCAAGAGACAGGGAGGAGGATCCTCTGGACACACAGCTTGCCCCTAAAACTCTGCCTTCAAAGGTACATTTTCCACTTCACTGGTACAAAGAGCAGCATTAATCTGACTTTGACTCTTTGGAGTAGTAAGTTTAAGTGGAAAAGATATTCAATATAATGGAAAAAATACTAATATATAAATGCAAATATAATGGAAAAAATAAATGTATTTTGAGACTATCAAAGCTGTCAACAAATGTTTTTGTGGATGTTTGTCACTGCTTCCCCAGGTACCCCTCACTGGGCCAGTTCTTGTTGTCCTATGAACACTCTCAGAGAGAAAATTTTTATTTTAAATATCTTTTTTCAAGAAGGACCCTGCAACTGGCCACATGGAAGAGGATTAAAAGGAAGGCAGCTCACATAACATGCCTGGATAAACATCCCACAAAGATCAGGAGCATGTGGGGGAAAGCACTTTTATTCTCAAATACCACAGCTGGTCAGTGTAAACATTGTAAGGCCATTAGCAAATTAAATGAAATTAATGTAACACAACCACTGTGACTATCTCTGCCTTCCTGCATGAACAAATAAAACATATTTTTATTTCAGCCCAACTCAGCCTCAGTGGTATCTCCTACCCAATACAAAACACACAGAAAAATGACAACTGGGATTTTTTAAAGCCTGTCTTTACACAAAGGCACATCTGTTCTTGCTTAAACCTGTTGATACAAATAGGCTTTACTTGAAGGCAAACCCAATTTTCTGAATTTATCCCAACAGGGGGTATTTCGTTACCACCTGCACTCACAATTCCTTGTGTTCCAAAAAAAAAAAAAAAAAAGTGTGCAAATTAAAAATACAGCCTCGTTCATCTAATGTACTCTTTGTAATTAGGTGTACTCACCAGAATACACATTATCCTACTCCAGGGGTTTCCTTTAAATCAACCATTAAAAATAATAAGAGTTCTCAGGAGAGATTAGAGATATAGAAAAAATGAGGTGATTGTTTATCACTTCCCAGAGCTTCTGTTCCAAGTAGTCCAGGAGCTCCTTGGCCACAGCTTTATCTGATGAATACTGACTTAAAAACCAGGGAAGCATGTGTAACATTATTTGTGATGAACTAATTAAAGAAAATCCATGAAAGCACACAAAAGACACCACTTGGTGGGGTTGGTTTTCCTCCCTGGTTGGACTATTTGGTGCTGCCTGGAAAGGCTGAGAATAATTCCTCAAGTTTTGAATCTTTGGGCAAAGCCACCTGGTAGTATATACAAATTATTGACTGGTTTAGACTCAAAACCTTTGTTTTCTTCCTAAATGAGAATTTGATTACAAAGCAAGATTTCTAATCAAAAATCAGCTGACTGCTCAACACAGCAGCACAGAGCCTGGACATTCCCACAGGACACGGGGAGCTCACACTGAAGCCAGTTCTGCACACATTGCACCAATCTGGGCACCAAAAGTGACATTTCCTTAGAGCAAAACTGCACTGCAGCCACTTCAGCAAATAACACTGATCTTAAAGCCTTCAAAACTCCCTCTGTGTAAAGGATTTACTCGTCTCTGGGGGACATTAGAGGTTTCTAAACACCCTTTTTTTTGTGGTGAAGACCAGAAATGAAAGCTTTTTGCTAACACATTGGTTCTTGCCCCACAGAGGATTTGTGCCCCATCCCTGGAAGGGTTCAGTGCTGGGCTGGATGGGGTTTGGAGCACCCTGGGCTGGTGGAAGGTGTCCCTGCCCATGGCAGGGGGTGGAATGGGGTGAGCTTTAAGGTCCCTTCCAACCCAAACCAGTCTGTGATTCTTTCTATGAGTTTTTGACCACAGGTCAAAAGGGAATCGATAACTAGACATCAATATATAGGAACAGGAAGTCTCATGAGGGACATTAAAAACAATCCAGAGTTTCTGAAGGAATCTGACCCTTCCCAAAACCCCATTTTCCCCCTCAAGAGATTAAAGGTACTGATAATTGAGAATTCTGCTGCTTCCAGGCTATGCTGCTTGTTTTCATGCTCACCTCAGCAGTCCTCAAAGGGAATCCATGGAGACATTTCCCATCCATGTTTTCCCATCTCAGATCTCTCAGATCTCCTTGTGCCATGGTTTGTACACATTGGGATAGCTGGGGGTTTGGACACCGTGATTGAGGCCCTGCATGGGTCCTTAACCAGCTTTGGGATGTCCCCTCCAGAGTATGGGAAGGTGACAATGAAGACCTCTCTTCCAGAAGAGCAAAAGTGAAGGCTGTGAGTGGAATTCCTAATACAAACAGATAGAAATGGCCTTGGGCAGCATGGGCAGTGGTAGATTGCTGGTGGTTCTTTAAAGTTAAAAAGAGGAGAGTTTTGTTCTCTCTCACCAAGAGAACAACATCATCCAGTCAGGCAAAAAAAATCTTTCCAGCTTCTCCTTCTTATCCACATCCTTCTGCAACAGCATCAGAAATGGAATTTCCTTACCTACATAAGAAAACTTCAGGAAGGGTTATGATTTTCTTAGGAAAAAAAGCAACATCAAGGAGAAAAGCTGCAGCAAAGGTGGCAGCAAGAACTGTCCCCCAAGGAGAGAGGGTGAACTTTTCCTCCAGCAAGCACTGCCATACAACTTGGGTTTCCACTCCCAGGAAAGCTCAAGCAGCAGTGAGTGGAGTGGCTGTTGTTTTCATGGAATCACAGAATCACAGAGTGGTTTGGCTTGGAAGGGAACTCAAAGCCCATCTCGCTCCAACCCACACCTTCCACTGGACCAGGTTTTGTTTGCAGCGACAGAAACATCAGCTGGATCACTTTGGGCAGGAAAAAAGGCATTTTAAATAGCTAAAAATACCTAAAATCTTTGTCCTTAAATGTAAGTCAGTACATTTTCCTCTTCTGTAATTAAAATTTTCACAAGGCTGTACTTTGTATCTCATGAACAGCAATAATGAACACCCAAAATCTCACCAGATATTCACAA